TTGTTAAGGAAGTTCTGTCTAGGATTTGCCTTTGTAATATGACTCAACTTTAATAGTGGCTGATGTTTTCTGATTGCTTCAGCTGCAGTAAGGGGGGATGAATGAATGAACTTGCCCTCTCATTCTCTCCCCTTTCTTCTCCCATGTTCTGTTAGCCGTACCCCTTCTGCACTGTCGGGACACACATTCTGCTTCGTCACTGTAATTCCTGCTTTGTGTCAGTCCTGGCTCTACATCAGATAGAGTCAGTGTATGCAGGCCCTCCTTGCCCGCGGTTTCTCTGGCCATCTCTAGGTGAGTTCATCCTATAGTAGTTTCTTTTCCTCAAGGAGGTCCTGGGAGAATTTTCCCTGATTTCTTCTATGTTCAAAATAGTTTACCTTTTATACTTGCAGGATGGCTTGGTTGGATAATAAAGCTCTTCGCTCACACTTTTCCATATACCTTGTAGTTATTGCTCCTTTCTCTTCTGGGACTGACTGTTGCTGTGGAAAATCTGGGGCCAGGTTTCTTATTTTTGGCCTGGCCACCCAAAGAGCCTCTATCTTCAAGTCTGGTAATGATGCTGGGACGTGTTAGTGTTGACTATCCTCAGCCAGTCTGCCCTGGCACCTGCTGTGCCTTTTCAGTCTGTAGATTCATCTTTCACTTCAGGAATGTTTTCTTAGATTTAATCTGGTTTGATCTCTTCTATTGGTTTGGTTTTATGCATGAAAGCTATACATGGATTTGCCTGTCACCTTTAGCTGTACTGTTATCTATAGTCATTTTGAACTATTTCCATTTCATTTTGTTAGGTCCTTAATTTTTTCCCATTTCGTCTTCCTTGTGCACCTTCTCATTTCACCTCTGCATCTACAATAGTTTTGATTTGTTCTTATTTTTCTTGAGTTCTTACTGCTCACATTTTTATCTCCCCCTTGTCTCATGATCTCATTTCTGAGTTCCAATTCTGCTTTGTGATTATCCTTAATAGAAGTGATTGGATTAAGCTTTATAATTCAAACCATGATACTTGCTCAGAGTTTTCAAAGAATACTCTTTGCTGTTCTTTTTCTGACGCAAGTTTGGGGTAAGGTTTCTGAGGTAAGATTTTATGTTCTTTTTCTGATGTAATCTAGAAATTAAATATCTTTTAACTGATGCTGTTCCAGCTTTTTTTTTTTTTTTTGAATAATTGGATTACCCTGCCACGTGTGTGTGTGTGTCTGTGTCTGTGTGTCTGTGTGTGTGTGTGTGTAAGTGTGTAAGTGGGAGCTGGAGCCAGGACAGGCTTCTGTACTTAACAGTGACGATACTCTTTGCTTCACTGTTTCCACACATGTTCTGCTTCCTGCTAAGATGGCTTTCCTGCAGAGCCCCACCCTTCTGCTTCTCTGAACCCAACCGTGGCCAGGTCATCTGCTGCCAGCCCTGCTTGCCCCTCTGCCACCTCCTTTGCTGCACCAAAGGCATGTGTCTTTTGCACTTCAGAGTGATTGGATCCCTCACCTTCAGGGAGTATATAGTTGCTGCTCTTCTCTGGGACCTGCTGCCTGGGGCTGCTCGGCCATTCTCTCTCACTATGTCCTCCTCCTTGCCTGTCCCAGCGAGGCCTCTGCTTTACTTCCACCATGTCTGCTCCAGAGGTCCTTGTACTATGCAAAGGATACAGGTTGTCACTTTGGGTTGAGCCCATACTCACAGAAAGTATATTTTGTTGGCATTGTCTGTGATCTTTTACCACTGGGTTTTCTGTTTGCTTCCCTTCTCATCTTGGATCTATGGCTAATATTAGCAGCTTTTAGGAGCCTTTTGTACAGTTTGTTTACACTGTTTTGCCAAAAATGGAGTTTGCAGGCTTCCCCCTGCCTGTTTGCCTTGTTTCTTTTGTATGATATCCAGGAGAACATCAGTGTTCCACTGAGCACATTTCTGTTGGAGGTCTGTTGTCTGATATACTGGATCTTTAAAAGGGTCTCTAAGGTCCATATGAAATAGACCTTCAGGGGAATGGGGGGGAGCCAGGAACATCTGTTAGGAAGGTGCTGTTGTGATTTTGCTGTGTTAGTGGTGGCCTGCATCACAGTGGTAACTGGGGATGTGGCTGTATTTTGAGGGAAAGCTGCCTTAGGACTTGCTAGTGGATTGGTGGGGTGAAAGGGGAGAGTCACTTGTAGCTGTCTGTGCATTTCTGTCTTTCAAGTGCTGCTTTCTCTGTGTTGGGGAGCTCAGGGTGGGCTTTAAGTGGGTAGGACCTGTTCACAGGAAGATGTCCCCTAGGCCACTTGTCCAGCTGCCAAGAGGAGTAACACTTTTGGAATCCTTTGGTATATTGAACTTCTAGGTGGCACCACTTTTTCCTTTTTTGTTCCAGGTCTGTCTGAGAGGTCCTCAGTGCTCTTGGGCTCTGCTCCACCTCTTCCTGGTCCCAGCGGCCATGGCAGGGCCCCTCCCCAGGCACCCCTTTCACTGTCTAGACCCTGGTTCCTGGCCCTGGTTGGGGTTAATGGCACAGCCAGCTCCCCCATACACAAGGGCTAGAACCCCCCAGCCATCTCTTAGTCACCTCACAGGCTGTCCTGGTGGTTGCCTGACAGCTACTCCTTGCCCAACTGAGGGTTCTTGGCCAAAAAGAATGGCTTTCAAATCTGCCGGGGCCTCTTTCAGTGTGTGTATGCATCATGGTTCTCTCTGCTTAGGTTTATTTATTATTAACAGGATCCCACTTCCTTCCTCTCTTCCGGAAATTTATCAAAATTTCTAGTGTGCTGTTTTCAGTGCTGCCATGGTTGTATTATTTTTTATTTTTGTCATTTTGGTGGGAAAGAGGGTGGGCAAACTTCTGTCCTTACTATTTGCCATCTCTAGCTGGTTGTTCTAATTGCTTCTTAAGAATGTGAGGGGGATATAGAAGGAAAATAATTTGGAATAGATAAGATATTTTAGATTCAGAGGTTAGAAAATGAATTAGCTAATATATAATATATTCTTTGTAATATTTCTGGTTTATTCTACTTCTCACAGCTGCTCAGTTATGATGATGGAATAAACATAATTGGGTGTCATTTAATTGTTTTCTTAAGATTCTTCCTTAAAGTCTGGAGTCTGAGAAAATATAATTAAAGATGATCTATCTAGTTTATGTCCATGAGAAGTCTTACATCATCCATATTGGTTTCCAGTTAGTTACTTGCAATCATGTGAAGATAGAAAATAACATATAATTTTACATTTTTGTCTTACATTGGGAAAAATATGTCTACCTTAAATTTTAATAAGAATATAAAAGTGGTTTGGGGAAATACATTTAAGAATGAAAACATGTCTTCAATGTAGAGTTTGCATAAGTAGCAAAATTGTGTATATTGAAATAGTTTCCCCTTGTATTCCTTCAAGGCATATTTCCTTATTCCAGGTTATGATATTAAGTGTTACAAGTGTTAATTGTAAAGTTAAACCTCACTACTACTTATGATGGTTTTGTTTGTGTACTAAATTGAAAGAAGTATTTTATGTCTCTACGGATTAGGGTCACAGTAATATTTAATGTTTTATATTAAAGTTTAATATTAATGCATTGAAACAGGAATTAGACTACCCCTGCCATATGGGCCAAAGGTGAAATTGGTTCATTTTTCTGTGTAGTGCAGGCTAACTAAATTTGTTAGTCTTCCTCTAATATCTTTCTCATTTTAATCTGTCCAAGGTGCCTTTTTACACTCCTTCCTTAGCTGTTGCTAAGATGAATGTTTAAGCATGTTATCCAGAGAGCTGTCTTTTCACAGTGACATGCATTTTCATAAAAACTAGAATTTGAATCCAACAATCTACTATTTGGGTTGCCTGTCCAGGGAGAACATTGAGCCACCCCCAGATTTGGTGATTTAGTAAAAAGACACATAGGACTCAGCTCAGCGTATAATTGTATCCAGGGCTAAGATTTATTCCAGAGGAAGAATGCAAAGGAAAGTCAGCACAGGGAACAGGTGCAAGGGGGTGAATCTGGAGGAAAACAGGCCAAAGATTCCAAGAGTCCTCTCCCTATGATGTGTCACCCAGGACAAGCTTAACTTTTTAAGCAACGAGAAATTCTGCAACACATGTGAAATGTTGTCTACCACGGAACTTGTTAGAGATGCAGCACCCAGAGTTTTTATTGGGGACTAGGCACCTTCTGCCTAGCCCATACCAAATTCCAGACTCTAGAAGGAAGGATGTTTAGCATAAACCCATATGGTTTGAGGATGTCTGGCATAAACCATATGGTTTGTACAGTCAGTTCAGGCATAGTGAGCCATTCTCATCAGGGAATGTTGGGAATACTCCAGAAATCCAACTTCCCAAACACTAGCCAGGGGCCAACCTTGTCAGCAGTCCTATCTAGAGGATATTAGATATCCAGATGTCTTGTGTTTTCTAAATATGTAAAATACTCTAAAATAAACGATATAATATGGATTGTCACCAGATTTCCCATACCAGGACTAGATGTATTATATTTTGTGTTTTGATTGACACTTTAAAAACAAAAATCAGGTTTGTATCAGTTGGTGTTGGAGCCTGTGGGTATCTCAGTCCTTCTGATTGCCAACAATTCCTCCGGCTCCCTTTCTAACCCTCAGATTCTTCTGCACTGTCAGCCCATAGCCGCCCATGCAGATTTTCTTTGCCACTGCCTCTTTCCGACGTAACAGTCTCAGTAGTGGTAAGATTGCTCTGTATAAAGTGCTGATGTTAAAATACCTAGAGGGTGTGGGGAGACAGTGTGGGCGGGCAGGTAAACAGCAGTGAGTCTTGTTGAAGGGGAGTAATAAGCTACCTAAACTCAGCCTTAATTATTATGCCTTTTGTAAATTTTTGAATAAAGTCATTAAGGTGATATCATTTAGGCTTTTGGCACTGATGGCAAAAGAGTGAAGGGGTTGGGGAAGATGACTTTAGGATCAATTTTGTAGGACAAGTAAAGGCAACCAATTGTAATTCCCTTTAACGGTATTATCTTAAACATATTTTGACAGCTATTCAGGATTATGAAACTGCTCAGGAACACAATGAAAATGATCAGCAGATTCGGGAAGGTCTAGAGAAAGCACAAAGATTATTGAAACAGTCGCAGAAACGAGATTATTATAAAATCTTGGGAGTAAAAAGGTGAATTACTAATTTAAAACTTGCATTGCTATTTTTAATCAACTGTTTTAAAGCTAATAACTCCTCTTTTTTCTTCTCTGATTCGTTTACTTATGTAATTTCAGTTATACAGATTAAATGCTAACAATCTTTAACATCATAAAGCTATTTTGATTATGTTATAGGCAGACCTCTTTGGTGGAGACTAGTAATGCAGCAACAGAGAATTAGTAGCTGGTGACAAAGATAGGACACTGTAGCATGAACAGGTCCTAGGTCTAGAATTAAGAAGCGCAGGAGCTTTCTTTCAGTTGGGATGCAGTGGGAGAGGGAATGAGCCGTCTCTAGGCCTAAAAGTAGAGTAGTATTTTTAGAATTAACTTGCAGGCACTGGGAAGTATATAATTTATTTGGTATGTTTTTATATAAGATCTACCTTCCCCGTCAGTCTTTTAGTCAAAAGTCTGAAACTTTATTCTTGCTAATATTAAGTAAGCTAATGAAGAAGCAAAATTGAAAGTGGGGTTCAAAGAGTCAAAGTATTTTTTTAAAGGCCAAGAATTAAATCATGGTAATTTGGGAATTCAGAGTTAAAAGATTCATCTATGTGAATATTTTTAAGGAGAAAATTATAAAGATCAAGAGTACTTTACTTTAGCCCCAGTAATCTTAAAAGAAACCTGATCAGCTTTACTAATTATCCAGAACTGGCTGCCACATCTTTGGCATTTGATACCATTGGAACTATTAGAAAAAACAGGTTGTTAATTGCCAGTGGGATCTTAATTCGCTTTTCTAAGTTTTATGGCCCTGTGCTGGACACTTCTTAACTAGTGTTTATTAATTTTATCACCTCTCAGAAATGCTAAAAAGCAAGAAATCATTAAAGCATACCGAAAATTAGCACTGCAGTGGCACCCAGATAACTTCCAGAATGAAGAAGAAAAGAAAAAAGCTGAGAAAAAGTTCATTGACATAGCAGCTGCTAAAGAAGTCCTTTCTGATCCAGGTATTGTTTGCCTTTAACATCTTTCTATTCTCTTGAGATGGTGGAACCTGGTGATTTATTAGCTCTAACTCCTTTGACCCATCATAGAGGCAGTGTCAGAGGTGGAGGGTGCAGAGCATGGTGGGTTGTCTCCGTGGACTGTTGGATAGTGAGGGCTGGTGACTGGTCCTCGGCCTGGCAGCTTCAGAACTCCAGTTTTATGCCTGTCCCTGTCTGACTCCTGGGGCCACTCATATGTGTGGTACAGTGAGAAGACCATCAAATGTGGAATCAGAAAGCCTGAGTTTGAGTATTTTTTCTACTTGGACAAGTTCTTAGAACTTTTTTGGTTCTCAGTTTTTTCACCACCTGTGATATGAAAAACACACAACACTGAGTATAACATAGTGTCTCCCAGGTTTCTTCCAACATCACATTCAATAATGAATTCTCTCCACCAAACTGACAGGAGCTTGATGAGGAAGCCACATGCCAGGCTGCACTGCTCAAGGGGGAGAAGAGCAGCTAGCCAGCCCAGGCCTGCCATGTCTTGTGTGTTCAATAGGAATCTTGCCCCAAATCAAATGAGCATGAGTTTGATTGATATATATGTCATCTTTTGTCAAACACTAATATGGCCTGGAGAGTAAGAGGAAGACAGGCAAAGAATTGAGGTAATATTGGAAAAGCTTTGCTATCGCCAGAGGGAATTTAATGTTAAGGTGACACTTTCTGCTTTTTTGTGGCCTTCCATGTTCATGGTAGCAGAAGCTCTGATCTGAGTTAGACACATTAAACAAAAGAGAGGAAATCAAGTTTTATTCCCATTTGGCAAATCTTTTTTAAGTACCTACTTATGCTATGGAATTGAAGTTAAATGATCCTTTGTTCTCAGGTAATTTATAATCCAGTAAGGGAGACAGAAATGTACTTCCCTTATTAAGTAGTGTAAGATACATACTGCCTTGTTACTCAGCAAATATTGAGTGCTTACGCTATCCCTTGAACAGTTCGATCCTCTTGTCCTGTGTAGTGCCCATGTGGGGCAGCTCCATCTGACCGGGAGTCTGGAATCTTCTTAGGGTACGGGCACTCTTCAGCGGAGCTTTAAGGTAGCAGGGAGCCAACTGGCACAGAGACACGCACTGAGAAAAGAACTGCAGGTCCGTTTTCCTGGCTCCTATTCTTATTTTCAGGATGAACTCTCTTCTTCTAAGTGCTCTAAAGACGTTAGCTCTTTCTTCCGATCCCTGCGGCAGTCCTCATTGCCCACTTCTCCCACGTGTCTGCATTGTCTTCTACTGCTCAGGGCTGAGAGGCCCAGCAGTGGGGGCATCAGTCACACAAGTGAGCGGGAAAGGTGAGCCTCCTAGAGTTGTAGGTTTGGGGGCCTCTCTCCCCTCATGTCCAAGGAACCTTAGTGCTGTTGAGACTCTAGAAAGCTCATCAGATGCTTGGTGGGTTGATGAGGTCATTGCCTGGCAGACCTCATTTTGAGGGGTTCGGGTGGTGACGTGGCTGTTTTATTGGAAGAGCATGACTTTTGGAGGTCTGTTTCTCTGCGATTATTTTTTCCTAAAGAATTCCTGAACTAGTTACCAAGCTTGGGTAGCTTCTTCTAGGGTGAGATTTAAGGGGCCTGAATTTCAGTGAATTCCTATTTTTAACCCTGAACCTCACCCACCTTGTGACTGGTGTTTCTCTAGTCTGTTTCTTCTGGGTGGGAATGGGAGAGCCTGGATTTTTGACTATCAGGCCCAACTGTATTGATAACTGAAAAGTAAGTAGCCCCTCAAACCTAATCCCCACCCCCAACACCTTAGTTATTTCCTGGGTCTTAATTTGTTGGTTTCTTTCTAGAAATGAGGAAGAAGTTTGATGATGGAGAAGATCCCCTGGATGCAGAGAGCCAACAAGGAGGTGGTGGCAACCCTTTCCACAGAAGCTGGAACTCATGGCAAGGGTTCAACCCCTTCAGCTCAGGCGGACCATTTAGATTTAAATTCCACTTCAATTAAACCAACTGTTTTTCTGCTCTTCTTCCTTAATTTTTTTAAAGATTAAAAACAAAGAAACCTTGTTCTGGGATCCTAATGAAAAAAAAAAAAAAAAAACTCAAATCTTTCAGTTTGTCCATAACCAAAGAGTTGTTTTAATAGGAAAAATCTGTTCTTATCCATGTTAGATTTAAGGTTGATGGGTTTGCAAAGCCAGAGAGGCGAGGAATGGCTGTTCCTGACAAAGCGGCCTGTATACCTTTAGGAACGTGTGGGAGTGGTCTCAGGCAGGCTCTCCTGTGGAAGTGCTCATGTTGTCTGTATTTTTCTACACTGGAGCGTTCTTCTCAGTGTAGAAATTCTTCTGTTCCCAGCCTTGCCATAGCAAGTCAGTGCCTACATGTGTACGCAGGAGCTATAATCTTCATGAGACTTGGTTATGTTTCAAAATGCTTAACTAGAAAATGAACATTTTGACTGTATATTCTTATGGACAAGTATGCTGAGATGTGGTCAGTCTAGTCACTTGCAACTTAAGTCTTTAGTGTACATGCGTTTACACCTCTGCTAGTGTCAACATGGCTGTCACTGAAGAAGGGGCAGAGTCCATCTTTTAGGAGACCTGCCACCAAATGATTGTTGATATATCCAGGTTTAGACTTTGGATTGATGTTAAACATATATATTTTTTTGTTTAGTACCTGCAGAATACTGAAAACCACTTAACTTGAATTTAAGTATAAATACTTATGGGCCCTTTTAATATTAAATACAAAAGTAATATGTAAATAGGTTCAGATAATAGTAATATTATTTAAAATAATATTGCTGAAGTGCAGATTAAAATACTTTTTAAACAACTAAAGTTCTGGGTTGTTATATAGAATTTCCTGTAACAGGATCGGCTTAGAAATGTAAAGTTGCTCAGTCAACATAAATAACAACAGAATGCCATGTTTACTACTCTTAATAGAGTGTGGCAGCTTCTTCTTTTCTTCTTGTATCTGGGCCTGACCACCTGGACCATAGTGACTCCCATGTGGGACCTGTTGCTGGTGTGTGTTAAACAACAGATCTGCTTCTCTGACAGACCTTGATGCTGCTAGATGTTCTCCTGCCTAGAAGAAAATACAGGCTTGCAAATGTAGTCAGCTGTGGCTATATCATTTCACTTAATAAGATGGCATCTCTTGAGATACGTTTTAAGAAGATAACTATTTAAGAAGCGAACTATTCAGTCTTTATGCTGGATAATTTTGGCCCCCAAAAATGAATGTTACTTTAATCAAGAACATCGAATGTTTATGGAACTATTGATGATGTATTTACAATCTGAGCCAATTATTTTAGATAAGAATTACTACCTTTATTCTCAAAAAGACTTGGTTTTGCCTTGAATCATCTTAAGCATTAAAGGGTCTAATTTATTTTTATGAAATCAAGCATTTTTTTTTTTTTTTGAGACAGAGTCTCACTCTTTTGCCCGGGCTAGAGTGAGTGCCGTGGCGTCATCCTAGCTCACAGCAACCTCAGACTCCTGGGCTCAAGTGATCCTCCTGCCTCAGCCTCCCGAGTAGCTGGGACTACAGGCATGCGCCACCATGCTCAGCTAATTTCTCTATATATAATTTTTAGTTGTCCAATTAATTTCTTTCTATTTTTAGTAGAGACGGGGTCTCGCTCTTGCTTGAAATCAAGCATTTTAATTCATTGTGGGAGGCATCCTGACCACAAACATCTACAGCAGCCAAGCACAAGTCATTTTCTTCTACAGTCATATCCTGAAACATATGTGGAAAGGATTTTTTTTTTTTTTTTTTTAACCTGAGGGACAAATCACATAGTTGAATTGAGCAAAACACTTAAGTGCTTTTTGCATCTATTTAGGAGTCTATTTCCTACCAATAAACTTTCCAAAATGAATTGTTAACTGTTGAACAGCTTCAGCTTTCATTTTTTTAGTGTCTCAGTTCAAGCCAGTGTGAAAATAATTTCCAAGGTAAATTCATTTTTCTCTACTCTTTACTCTTAGTAAAATCTCATTACTTCCCTAGTTATATCAGCAATATTTTTTTCAGTCTGGTTCCTTCCTTTGTATATGAAGTCCCTATAAACTCTTTGAACCATAGTAAAGAATTTTCACACAGAATCAGAAAAAAGGAAATATCAAGTCACTTGCCCTTCCATTTAGAGGAGAGGATGAAAGTTGCCGACAAGGAGGAGCCGGCGGGTGTTTGGGATGGTTGGGGGCTGGGCCACACGGGAGACACGTCCAGGGCCTCGCTGCCTGACACCTGCCGCCTGGAGGCTTGTTTATATTTTCATTTTTTCACTTGTAACCACCATAATTTCTATTCTTAAAGACTTGCCATGGAGTTAGACAACTGAAACGTGCAGATAGTTACTTGCCTGTTTTCAGTGAAGAGAAAGGAGAAACTCTGGTGCCACGTGCCAACGCCACGAAGGAAATGAATTCTCTGCGATCTGTTGTTTTGTGATTAACGAAGAAAGTAACGACCTTTGAGTGCCAGCCTTGACAGCCATCAGCAATCTTCCGGTGTCCACCCAAACAGAAAGACGGTCACTCCATGCTGGCCTTACAGAGGAGTGAGAAAAATCCTGGATGGGTGAAGGGATCGAATAGTCTTTCCTCCTGCCTGCCTGACGTCAGCGATCACTGTGCGGCGTGAAAGCGTACTACTGAAAGGGCATTTTACTTTTTTGGGCGGGCCGCTTTCACTTTTCTTTGGGAACTGCGGGTGCCGGGTAACCCCTGGAAAAGTAAAACCAGGCACCCTAGCCTTAGCTATATTTCGTTCTTAACTCTGCCCGCCCTTTTTGGTGACCTCCACAAGTGGAGTAACATCGTGGATATTTTCACAGCAAGAAGTATTAAACACATCAGCCTAGAAGCATTGTATTAATAAAAATGTTCTAAAAAGGGAGACTAAATTTAATTCCTATTCTGAAAGTTTGTGCTTTCTTACCATGAATAGATGAAAACAATTTCAATAGTAATGTGAATTGGATGTAACATAATACTAATTTTAAAATGTCTTTCTCTTTAGTCAGTATTAAAAGTCTATTTTAAATCAGTATGAAAACAAATTTTTGGAGCTCTGATAATGGAATCTAAAAACTATCCAGTTTTTTTTTTTTAAAGAGAAAAATACAACTGATAACCAGCAAAAGGTGGCCAATAAAATCACAACTTGAAATTGGCACCAGTTTGTACTCATGGTGGATAATGAAAAATTTCACCCTTAAAGGCATGAAATTGGTCAGAAGTTGTATTTGACATTTGCCATGAAAAGCGCACAAGATGTGTAAGTTAAAAATGGCTCCTCAGGTCTGTCGGCTGGAGCCGACTGCCTTACAGATACAGGCACGGGTGATGGGCCTTGCAGAAGGTTTTCCCTGAGTACAAATCAGTGAGAGAACCTAGAGAAATTCATGCAACTTGGCTGAATGTAGTTGACTTTTCCATATTTATAGAGGAGGAAGGCAAATGCTAATTTGTCAATAACTAATATTCTTGTTCTAAATCAGATCATTTCCTTGTCAGTGGCAGTTTATCCTGTAATTTCAAATGATGTTAAGAAGGTGGGGGTTATTTGGATTTTTGTTTGTTTACAGATGATCTCATTTGCTGAATGATTTAAGAGTAAAATTAGCCACCGCGTGGCTTTGTGTATAGTAACAGGTTTTGTTGCATTTGTCTGTGGCTGAAACACTTACCAGTGGAAAGCAGAGGATGGAGGAGGTAAAAATTTGGGATGTTTGATAAATTACAATATTACTCTTACCATAAGGTTATCATTTGTTTTGAATGAGACAAGACTAAGTAACTTAATCCATCTCAACTTAGTGTTTTAATAAAAAAGAACCTAATATTATTTGAAATGGGTCTCAGACATGTCTACAAATATGGGTACTATTTTTATGCCCGTGTATTTTCACATTTAATAAAAATATTTATGATCATATCAGTACTTTCTTGCTTTTGATTCATTTTTAGTCTTTGAGTGTAAGAGATTCGAATAAAGTCTACCTTAGGAGAAATCTACTTCCAGCTTTGCTTCACCCAAAATCAGTGACTGAGGTGATAAAAGGGTACCCCTTTATATGAGTTGATAGGGAAGGTCAGAACACAAAAAGCAGAAATGGCTAAAATCTCCCCCAAAGTCTTAGGACAGCTAGGACTTAAAAGAGTGGACAGTTCTTCCATTTCAATACTGTTAGATTTTAACACTTTTAAGTTGGTTTTGTCTGAAGACTTTCCCTTTTATACCCTATTTGTACAATTCTGTTAAGGTCCTGAGGACACCACAGCCTATCGCAGTCAAATTTCCAGCTACAAACAAAAGTAGCTTTCCTCTCAATTCTATATTCTGTGTATCTTAAACCTCAAGGAGAGATTTATATAGAACTTTTCCAGAAAGCTCAACGCTTCCAAATGACATCTTAGCGATATGAGAGCCTTAGTCTGAGGATGACAGCATAAACCATGCAACGGGCGTGAGGCTGGGACCTGGGAGAGGAAGGGAGGTTCAGATCCTGTTCCCGGAGCTTCAGGAGCTCTCGCTTAGCAAGCACCAACCCTTCTCCCTCCCCACCCCATCTTATGTTCACACCCCAGAGACCCTAAACTCTGCAAACCTTTTCCGTCTGAGCACATCCTTCCTTTGGAATGGCTGTATGATAAATAGAAGCATAATATGCACATTAATTTATTGCCTCACACTAGGATTCCATCTTGAACGACGCACACAGTAAGACAGCTCTGGTTGCAGTGTGAACACATTTCCAACCTTCACTCAGGTCTCCTTTTCCTCATGGGGAAGGCAGCGGTTGGGTCTGCTGGGACAGGCACCACTCTGGCTGAGATAGTCCCAGGAAGAGCAGCTCTGGCTTGGAAGGGCTGCTGGGAACATTAGTGTCGAAGTCTTTCTGAGGAAACTGGAATTGAACATTTTAAAAAAGCATAAGGAAGAAACTTACCTGCAGCATTTCTTAGTGGATTTCAACTGTTCTAAGTCTTTTGGGTATTTACGTATTTCCCTGTTATAGGAGATTCCTACAGGTATATCCTTGAGC